ACAGTCCTGGGCCCGTTTAATACACCGTTTTGGTGCCATCATTAGAAACATTAGCTTTCTTATCCATCGCGTCTCAAGATGAATCAGATTAGACGCTCGAGACATAACGTTACATTATAGGACCCACTAGTCTTGATAGCAGTATTGATAACAGTGCTTCCCCTATATGCATTCAGGAGAGGCGGTGTGTCGCTGCTGAATTGTGACGGCAGCTACTAAGATTTCCCACACTCATTATTACATCAATGCGCTATTAAGTTTCACTCACACGCTATGCGAGCATGGGAATACTAATCGCTTGGCTCGCTTCCTCTCCTTACTCCATGTTTGAGTGTCCGAGCGGCAAATGGCGGTAAACACAAGCAAAGGAAAATATTCTGGCAGTAGCCTAAATGTCAAAAGCTGTAAAATGAAGACACAAAAGGCAAACATGGACAATCATATCTATAATGATTCTGAGGTCATATTAACAGGGTTTACGGGGTGATGCCCAACCATGCTGTGCCATAAATGTCAAATCACTGTGGAGAGCATCATAACCAACCAAAGTACTTTCCCCAGATCTAATGGTTGTAGTTCCTCCAGTAGACTGATCTTTGGGTGTTGTTTATTATCTGCTCTAGCTTTTCCTTTTGACAAGTGTGACCCAAATATGGTACCCCATGGAGGTTCAAGACGGAGCTGAACACCTGTTTTCTCTCAGCTGGACAGGTAGGCTGGAATAAAATACAGCTGCTCGTTACTTTCTATAAATTGAACTACAAGACATTCTGTTAGCTTCCTGCTCAGCTTCCACTCTGAAGGGGAGATGTTTGTTAACCTGCTTTACTTCTCCAGCTGTTCTGGAACAGACTTTTGTTGGTCTTGAGAAGCTGAAGCATTTATTACCTGACACAGGACACCATACTTTAACTGCCTCCTCTGAGATTCACTGTCACTTTCTGTCACTCCGACAATCACACACTCTAAGACCTCCAGATTAAAGGATCTGCTCTGATAACAGCACCTGTCAGACGTCCTGCAGAGTTTCCGCAGGGTCTTAAAAAATCAACAATTTCAAAATCAAAATATATGGTCTTAAGAAGTCTTAAATTTGCTGAAGTTTGTGTTCTAGGTCTTAAATAATTTTAAACGGGTATTTATTTTCCAACTTCCATGTAATGCTACCTCTAATGCTCATTGAAATAGCCCCACAGCGCTCAAGACTGTTTTTTACTCCCGTGGTGGTGTAGTTCTGTCTGTCGCTGGTCCAAATATAATTTGCTGTATTATGAGTACAAAGACCAACAGGCAGCTTTTGTGTTATTGCCTTAAGTCTTTCGGATTGTACCACAGATATTAAACGGATTTATTCTTCAGCTATGGGGAAGTGCAACCTTATTGATTCTTGGATGGAAAAAGAGATCTTAGGGCTTAAAACCAGTCTCTGGCAACACAGCCTATTTGAAGCCTACTGTCGCTGCTTAATGAATGAGCACCGCAATTAAAATTTCACATATCGTTAATGATTTTCAGTAAATTACAGTAACACTCAAGGCATGGCTGCCTCTCTCTCCTCGTTCATCAATTGACAAGCGATGTGAGAGAGAGTGACAGAAAGTGAAGGTGAAAGTTGGCAGACGAAAAGATCAACATTAAGTTGTCAGGTTACACCTCTGTCCTCTACTGTACATCTTGAGAGTTAAATTAAATTAAAAAAGGACGGTGTTGACCACGGAGGAGCTGAGGTTAGTAACGTTGATGTAACGTAGGGATGCAAACTAAAATTAATCCTTTTAAGCTAATGAGGATATTATTCTTGTCTGTACAAATGAAATGCTTGTAATAATACAGAAGGGAAGTGGTTCTCATGTTGCCTATTTATGTTAATTTCTACAAATGTATAAAGCAGTAAATTAAGACACAAAAGGCAAACATGAACTGTCCTATCTGTAATGATTCTCAGGTCATATTAACAGTGTTTTCATGCCAGTATAAGGTGGTGAGGCTCAAATGTGTTGGTGCAAGGCAATGAATACAAAATCACTGTGGAGCGCATCAAAACCAAATTAATTTTCCCAGATCTGAATGGTATAATTCAACCCCAGTAGACTTATTTAGCAAGTTTAGCTTTTGGGGTGTAATTTATTCCAAATCTTATTCACAGATGTGGTAATATTCCACAATTATGTGGAATAGCATATTTCTTTATTGGAAAAGAAAATTTTCTTGGGGGAGGACCCCCATTCTGCCATACAAAAACGCCATCTTAATTTTTTACATTATACCACCCAGTGAAAGCATGTTTCCCCATGGACATTATTTCTATTATTATTATATTTAAATGTACTTGCTTTGCGCCTGCCTTGACTTCTCCCTGCACTCACTCACACACACACCTTTACCTCTGGTCTCTCACTGCAAACACACCGGCTTTCCCTGCTTCTCTCTGTCTCCCTGTCTGCTCCCCTGAGTTTATCCATCAGCAGCAGGTTATGTTTTATAAAGTCACCGAAAAGACACAGAACTCTTTTTTTAAATTTTTCACCGGTGATCTATTTTTCACGTCAGCAGGTCCACCGCATGCCAGCTTCTTAATTATATAGCTCATCAATGTCATCATCAATCCCGGTGTTTCATTGTTGACATCGTCTGATGCCAATTTTGTAGACATCACTCAACCCTAATTTGAATACATTGATTTACTCTGCAAGTAATTTTGTGACTGCATTTCCTTTGTGCGTTTCTTTTTTATAAGTCAGTATATAGGTCTTAAATTTCATTCATAATGGTCTTAAAAAGATCTTAAATTTGACCAGGTGAAACCACTGTTCCTTTACCTCGTCTGCCTGACTTCTTATTTAGCCATCTTTATTTGCTCATGATTCCATATAACTCCACATTTAAAGCTCCCTTTTATATTATTTAAGTAAAAGTGCTGCTGATGGAATAAAATTATGCATATCCACTTTTTCCACAAAACACAGTAAAGTAAGTAGTAAAAGGAAATTTTATTTAGCTCAAGATTCAAGTTACTATCACTTTACACCAAAAAATCTCATTAAGAATCTGGAAACATTATTGCAAAAAAGAATGAAAACAAAATGATGATCAAAATTGTTGCTAGTTAATTATCTGATCTTGCACTCAATTACTTTGTCTATTTAGCTTTATGCAAGATGTGCCTTATTTTGTGTCTGTTAAATGTAGAAATGACAGAAGATGTTGTGAGAAGATGATACTAATAAATTAAACTTGAATTGTAATATTGGAGTTGTATTCATATTTTTCAGGGCAAAAATTGGCATTTTATTTATTATTTATTATTTATTGGCATTACTAGTAGTAATTTTGTTGAGTGAGTTTAATATTTGAGTCTAGCACAATAATTTTTTGAGTAGATTTCCCTCAGAGTATAAGTTGTGCAGACCAAACACTGAGCCAACATTCACCACCATGGAGATCAAAAATACATACAAGAGCAGAAGGGAAGAGAAATATAAGTGGAAAAGTTAGGGATCATTAATGTCAAGTTCAATATAGTTATCCAATATAGTGATCCTAGGGGTTAGGTAATGATTGCATCCATCATGTGAAGTTAAAGTAGCTACTCCCACTTCCTACAAGTATAAATCCAGGATTTATGAGACATGCATTTAAAATACATAATTGAAACCCAGACTTGTTGAGATCAGAACAGAAAACTGATCCATGCCCAAGGTCAAGGTCAGAACCATGTAGGTTTCCATACATTTTTAGCATAAATTGCTTAGTTTTAGTGTTTGTTTAGCCTAGGCTAAATCGTTTACCGATTTATGTTATGTTCTAGCTAACTATTTGAAGTAGCAGCCCTCACAGTTAACTTTAGTTTTAGTGACAGACCCATTAATGGGTCGCTGATTAATCCGGTCGATATCTGGCATTTTGAGATAATCAGCATCGGCTGATACCTGCACTCATATGTCACCTTAAATGACAGCAGATTCAATCTAAAACCATTACAGGCCACTGTTAAATATATTGTTAAAGTGTAGAGAAAACTGCAGATGAATGACATCACTTCTGACAAACTGTACCACACTCTCCCTTAAACACGAGTCACGTTCTGAAATCTACATCATAACCCAATGTATTTTTCTATTTCATTAATTTATAAAAATTCCATCTAAAACAACACGTTACTGGCTAAGATAACCATGTATATTAGACACTATTCTGCATGGAATAATGGAATTACACATGACTTTTCTTTGATTTGATATCAGCATTATAGAACAGCTATCGGCCACGCTGCTCTCTAAATTGCCCATCCCTGTATTTATCCAATTGATCATAGCTGTCATTTTACACTGGGGATGCTGGGGACATGTCCCCACCACTTTTTGAAAGCATTTGCTAAAAGTTTTCTGAAAATTAGCTTACAACAAGCAATGTTAAATAGCAAAAAAAGGTTTAGGTTTACTTGCACAATACAAACAAAACGTGAAATACAATGTAAATATAGAAGAAACAGATCTGCGTTGTCCAAAAAAGTAATAAGCTGCTAATTACTGCATTATTTTTGATAATATTTTTACATTCTGAATTGTCACCGGCCACATGAATTTTCTTTCACTTCAATAAATAAAGACATTTCCACCATAAATTGGTGCATGTCTCTAGAATGAAAATACTGTGCATTCTCACATCTCAAGTGTTTTGTCACATCCTTAATATGAGTCCTTAAATGTCCCCACCACTTTTTAACAAAAAGTGATGCCCTTGCCAATGATCCTATCATACAGGTAGAGCAGAGTTTTTACTTCCTGGCAGAAAGGTTGTGGGGATAGTGCACTTCACATTTTCTGAAGATCTACTCTCAGATTGGTGGATAAAAAGAAAAAAGATGAATCTAAAGCTGGAATTCAACATTTTTACATCGTAAAGTGGCAGATGCAGCAGACTTGTCTTTGGTCCTTCAAACTCCGAAGCAGGAGGTGGCGGTAATGACCCCATAACTTTGAAATAAAAACGAAGAGGCAGCAGCAACCGGAAGCATGCAGCTGTCAGTTATGAAACAGACCAACGCTGCAGTTCGTATGGAACAAAACACGACTGGTCTGCAAGTCATTTCATTCATTCCTATGAGGTGATCACTGTTTGAGAGCAGAATGGATGCTGCCGGTCCCAGCTCAGAACAAAGTCCCAAACCCGAGCTTTCTGCAGCGATGCGAGCTAAAATCGAGCGGAACCGGCAGCGGGCGTTGATGTTGCGGCAAGCCAGACTAGCGAGCCGCCCTTTGTCCGCTGTGGATGGCGCAACCTCGGCCAAAATCTCCAAGACCATCGACTCCGGTGCCGGCTTCTTCATCGAGGAGGAGGAAGGCGGAGAGGAAGAGCTGAGGACCAAGAAGGTTGTGCATCAGCCAGGTCGGTGTGTGTGTTTCGTGAGTGGAGTGTGTGCATGCATGCATGCTTATTTCCATGTGTATTCAGTGGCTGTGTGTTTGGTTTCCAGCTCCAGTGATTGAGCCGGACTACCTGATGTGCGATGATTGTCAAAAACCGTTCATGGACTCGTACCTCAGCAACAGCTTTGACCTTGTGTCTGTGACAAGTGCAGGTACACTCACATATTCTTGTACTTCTATCTTTGTAACGTTAAGGACCATCATTGACATAAATCATGCATTCCCTGGAGCCTTACCCTAACCTTAACCATCACAACTACAATGCTGTCCTTTGAAGTTTTGAGGACCGGCCAAGATGTCCTCTCTCTGTTGTCTTGTTCCCATCCTCACTATGCAGGAAGTACAAGTGCACACACAAAGCTGCAGGGGTTTGTTGCTTAAAACCTTTCTAAGCATGAATATGTTGAAATTAGTTTTGAATTTTTCAGATCTTACGTAATGCAGTTTTTTGTTTTCTTTGTTCTCAAACTCGACCCATGCAGTGTTAAAAATTATAGCTCATATGAGTTTTCTGTTTTTACTTATGTCGTAATTTTGACAGTCAGTCAAATCTCCTTCCCTGTCAGAGACAACGAAGAGAAGCATAAGCTAATTTCCAGAACTGAGGCCAAGCAGCACTACCTGCTGAAGGACTGCGACCTGGACAAGAGAGAACCTCCGCTCAGGTTTATACTGAAGAAAAACCCTCATAACCCACGCTGGGGAGACATGAAGCTCTACCTCAAACTACAGGTATCGACTGGAAGGCTACGAACAAGTACGAGAGTGTGGGTGGCTGCATTGTAATAGGCAAACACTGCAGAATAAATTTTCCCATGTTGACTAGTACTCGTGTTTAGCAGGATTAGCTAATGCTACTTTAATATTCAAGAAATATCCTGTGACTGAAGAATCCATAGTTTTCAACTGCTCTAAATAAGTGAAGGTTAAGCTAAAGCCTAAAAAGCGTAGCTGTTATGCGTATTTATGTGTTTTGTCAAATAACATTTCACTTTGAACTAATATATAAATGATGACAGGTTATCAATCCGTGAACAAACCAAACCAAAGTAGTGATGAAATATCAAATAATCAATTAGTAAAATTGACAACAATTTTGAAAAACAACTCCTTTAGTAAAAAATACAGTTGTTGGTTCCAGCTTCTCTGTGAGGATTTGGTGCTTTTCTCTGTCTGTAGCATTGTAAATTGAATAACTATGGGCTTTTAACTGATGATCTGACTAAACAAGACATTTTAAGATGTAACCTTGGGCTCTCAGACTAAATTATAGTATTTATATATGTATATATTTCTTAATTAAAATATAGTTGAATCAATAAGCCACAGACATTTTAGTCAAAGGTGAAATAACGTATCTTAACTATGTATGGTTGTGTTGGGGTACACAGGTGGAGAATAGGTGTATGGAGGTGTGGGGTTCAGAGGAGGCTCTGGAGGAGGCCAGAGAAGCGAGGGAGGAGAACAAAGAGGTGCAGAAACAAAACGCTTCAACAAGAAGGTCAAAGGTTTGTTTCCGGTTTTAGCCAAAGTAGTCACTCAGTAGGCATTGTGTAATATCAATGTTTGGATGTAGAATGAGCGTCCATTCTGTAAAGCTCAACGTTTCATATATCTGGCTTTGTGCGTCAGAGCTGCGCAGGGCGGTGAGGAGTAGCATGTGGACCAAAGACATCAGCGGTCACCAACATCAGTATGGACCAGAGGAGGTGGTGGATCCAGAGGAGGACCTCTATAGGAAAACCTGCACCACCTGCGGGCATGAACTCACCTACGAGAAGATGTAGATACACACTAAGACTGACTTTTTAACCTACAAGAGGATGTTTGGTGCTTCTGCAGGGAACCATGCCTCTCCTCCAGTCGTACTTTATTTTTCTACGTGGTATTTGTTTGTATAGCTCATTAATACACTCCATCCTGATCACATGCAAGAGGCCAACATCACTGTCCTGTGTGTCACACACAGGCTTTTGTATGTCGTAGAATTTCTATTTTAAACAGCCATTACTGACCTGAGCAATACTATTTTATTTTTAGCAATAACTCCTCGC